CACACACACACACACACACACACACACACACACACACACACACACACACACACACACACACACACACACACACACACACACACACACATCTTCCTTCTCTCTGTCTCTCTCAGCCTTCTCGTTCCTTTTTTTTCTTCTTATTACTTCCGTAGGGTTGTAGTAAACGGGTGTTTTTCTTTTATTTCTTTTATTTAACTGACAAGAAAGAAAAGTACCAAGGGCACAGAAAAGTTTGTAAAGTTTGTCATGTCAATCAGTTCTCTGGTGCGGGTTTTTAAATATATTTTTCTTTCAGAAATCAGGAATCCCCCCCCCCCACCACCATCCCCCCTTCTTTGTTTTGTTTTTGCTCTTTCTGCTTATGAATATTCATGCATTTTTGCTTGAAGACCTGAAAACTTTCCTTAAAAGCGTCTCTCCGTCCAGGTACACAGACAAACACACACACACACACAAAACACAATAAATGATCATACACGCATGCAGGCTCACAAACATGGAGCGTACACACGCAAACAGACACAAATACACATACTCTACGCTGAAAGTTCAAGTAAAATTGTTCCCGCATCTGATCCAGGGGGACATAGCCTTGCTAGTGAGACAACTTCCTGGGCCTTCGGCATATTGTGGTAGGGTGGCCAGTTCCTTTCCACGCCGCCTTTACTTCCCCAACTCAAAGTCAGGTACCCATTACTCCTGGGTGGGCAGAAGGGGGCGAAACAAATCTGTGTTCGAATCGAGGCTCGACCCTGGACTTTCGGTTCCGCCACCGCATCCTCTACACCACACTACACTTAACACACCCACTCACACATACACACACACGCACGCTCTCTCTCTCTCTCTCTCTCTCTCTCTCTCTCTCTCTCTCTCTCACACACACACGCACGCACACAGAAACACACACACACAACCGCAAGGAGATAGGGGTAGGCCAAGGACGTTACTGTACAACCTCCTTGGGGTAGGCGTAGATTGCAAAAAAGAAAAAAAAAAGAGGGGGAGGGAGTGATATGACATCGTTCCACTTAGTCCCCAAATGGTCCACAAATCTATGATATCATTTCAAGAAGCACCATTTTTTAAATGACATATCTAGATCTAGTATGTGACGATTTACTACTTCTTCAAATTAGCCAAGTCATCTTTAATCTTTATGACAACGAGTCCGAAATTTTAACTCCTACTTGAGATAAGCCAGCTGCTCTGTACGTGAGAGTGGCCAAGATTTAAAACTCCTCAAACTATCGCAAGGGGTTCTCACTGTCTGGTGGCCTAACATCTTCAACGGATTTTGTAAAAAGTTGGGGTATTTTTATGCTGACATCGACACAATTTAGATCAGTTCAGTTAGGAAGTAGGCTTCCGACCCTACCTACCTGCCTTAGCCACTATCTGGTCTGAGAGGGAAACCAACATCCTAGCAGAAAGACCGAAGCACTGGATGCATATATTATAATTTTTAAAACGAAAATGCTCAGAAAATCATTAGAAGACTGTGTAGTACACTCAGATTTAAAACCTTGATTGACAGTCGGTCAGTTGTTGTAGTTGTTAAAAAAAAATAATTTGACCCCATGTTATCAGAAGCAGATGAGTCACTTAGAAAGGGTGGGGGGGGGGGATTCTTAGCCCAGTGATTAGAAAGAAAAAGAAGAGAAGAAGTAATAAAAAAACCAACATACGACGACGGAGAAAACTCGTAAAAGTAAATGTCAGATCTCTTTATCTGAGTGTGAAAGTTCCCGTTTGACATTTCACTGATGGGCCGTTCCGCCTCTTGTTATTGACCAACGGACCTATTTATAACCCC